ATTGCAGTGTCCAGGTCACTTTTTACATCTAGCCCAGTGGTTCTATTTAGACTCAAGGCAACCATCCACAACCTTTGTGAATTGAGCAGCACCACATTTCAAAGACTGATATATTCATGACAGTGTATCTCCTTACAGAGGGGTTAGGCAGTGGGGCAGGGTAGAGCCAAAGCCTGCACCTATCTCCTCAACCTGCTTATCTCCTTACACTTTACCCGGGAAGTGGTCCTCGCCTCTACCTTGGGCAAATTCAAGAGGAGGGTGGATGATCACCTGTCTGGGGTCTTGTGAACTCAGCATTCATTCCTGCCTGTGGCAGGGGGTCAGGCTAGATGATCTGTTCAGGTCCCTCCTGACCCTAGCTACTATGAAACTTCAAAGGATGGCACCAAGCAAAAGATCTTGTGGCACCCCAGGGTGCCCCAGCACTCTCACTGATCTAACACTTGACCCCTCCCCCCCAGTCTCACTTAGTGGTACGTATGAACCCCTCTGCGCCTATTTGTAGGACTGGGACTTTAATTTCTCTTGTCTTGGCTCTTCAGCTGTAGAATCTCCTTTCCTTTGTCTGTCCTGTCTATTTAGTTTGTGGATTGTGTATTCCTCAAAGCAGGAAAGTTCACAACCCATGCATAATCTTTGATCTCTAGTACCCCACAATGTCCTCATGAGAAAATTGGAGGATTGTGGGTTGAACTCTGAGACAGTCAGGTGTGTGAGAAACTGGCTGCAGGATAGGACCCAGAGAGTCGTAGTGAACTGTCATCTTGGTTAGAAGTGGGCAGCGGTGTCCCACAGGGGTTGGTGCTTCATCCAGTACATTTCAACATTTTTATTAACGATTTGGATGTGGGGGTGAAGAGCTCACTTGCCAAGTTCATGGATGACACCAAGTTATGGGGGAGCGTGGTCACACTTGAAGATAGGCAACAGATACAGGTGGACCTAGACAGGATAGCAAATTGGGCAGATCAGAACCTGATAAAGTTCAACATTGAGAAATGTAAAGTGCTCCACCTCAGGATGAGCAACCCCCAACACACCTACAGGCTTGGCGGGACCAAACTGACTAGCACCACGAATGAAAGGGACCTGGGTGTAATAATAGACCACAGTATGAATGAGCCAGCAGTGCAATTTTGTTGCCAGGAGGGGAAATAATACTCTGGCATGCATCGATTGATGCATCTCCAGCAAAACCAAGGAGGTGATTCTTCTGCACTACTCAGCACTGGTGAGACCACAGTTGGAGTACTGCATCCAGTTCTGGGCACCACACTTTAACAAGGACGTGGATGAGCTTGAGAAAGTCCGAATATGAGCCACCCGTATGATCAGAGTCTTAAAAGGCAAGCCATACGAGGAAAGGCTGAGGGATCTGGGACTCTTCAGCCTGAGAGGGGACCTGGTAGCAGCTTACCACTACACTAGGGGAGTATATCAAGGGCTCAGTGAGCAACTGTTCACCAGAGCACCCAAGGGGAAAACCAGGAGTAATGGCCACAAACTTCTGGAAGATCAGTTCAGGCTCATTAGGAAAAACTTCTTCACAGTCAGGGTGTCCAGACTGTGGAATAAGCTCCCTCTGGAGGTGGTGCAATCACCTACCCTGGAAATCTTCAAGAGGAGACAGGACAGTCACCTTGCTGGGGTCATCTGACCCCCAGTTATCTTTCCTGGGTGCAGGGGGCTGGACCTGATGATCTTCCGAGGTCCCTTTTGGACTTACAATCTATGAATCTATGTGGAAAGATCCTTTCACAACAAGGCCCTGTCTGATGGGCCCTTTATTCTACCACAATACAAATAATAAATAATAACAATAATAATTGAAACACTATGATAGGAAAGCAATGCCAGCTCTAATATATATATATATATATATATATATATATAGTTAATCCTGGAAAATTAGTGCAACTTTGGGTGTGATGCTTTCTTGGGGGATTTGCCTCATGTTGCAGGGCCAGAAATCTAATTTTGAATTACAGATTTCCAGAGGTTGCATTTTGGCTCTCTGTTTTTCAGGTACAGTCTTGCAATAGGCCCTGTATGTCTAATTTCTTGTTAGATAAATAATTCAAGGAGGAAAGCATATGCTTAAGGTTTTTTAACTTCTCCTTCAGTGGTTCAATGGGAATTCCCCTGCCCCCTGACTGATTAATCAGGTAATTCCCTTGACAGAATAAGCTGTGTTGTGCTTCCTTCCCGAGCAACAATGACTCTAGAAATGAAATCTTCATATTTTCCCAAGCAGGAATCAACTGTGACCACCTGAAACCTGAGACACTGCTCCTGCCTTTGTTTCAAGGTAATTTGCATCATTTATCACAGATCCTCACAAGAGATGAGAGACTCTATACCAGCTATGAACTAACTGCCCAGAGGAGTTTTCCATCTATTGACTCCTCTGTGAAATCCTACAAAATATGAACTTTAATTTCTACCCAGGAGAACTTTTACAATCTTTTCTTCAATGCCTGATGGAAAGGTGTTTGTGCTCAAAAGCTTGCAATTAAAGAATTTTTTTTTTTGCAAAAATCTTATTGGCCTAATAAAAGATATCATCTCTACCATGAATCCAGAGTGACTCTACAAGGCATTTCTGCAGTGAAAATATCAACTGACAGAAAATAAGGGAGCAAAAATAAACAGGGAGATGTTGCCCCCTTCTGCAGGAAAAGCAATGTTTTGACCACATTGTGAAACATCCCTAATTTAATTTAATTAATTATTTGTTTGTTTGTTGTAGCTTTGCAAAACCTTTGCAGTAAGGATCATTTCCTAGAACATCCTAAAATAAATTAAAAACAGAAAACAACCAAAAAATAAAAAGAGAAGCAAGCACATTTAGTAAGACTCAGTTCTACCTGCACAGAAGCAGCTGAAGAATGAGTCTGAGCTCTGCCTACGACCCCGAACTTGTTTGACTTTACTGAGATATTTCAGGGACTTTCCACCCGAGTAAGATTGCACATGAATGTAAAGCTTTGCTGGTTCAGGATCATCTGCCTTGATCCTGCAATGCATGCCACATTGGGAGACCCTTGAGTATATAGAGAGTCCTTTGGACTTCAGTGGAGTTCCATAAAAATCCAGGAGTCTACACTGATCAGAGCAGTAGGTTGTAATTAGGACTGTTGGGAAATTATATGTATATGCTAAAAAAAAATACAGAAATGACCTGTATCAGTAATTGCCAGCCACATTTTTTATGTTAAAAAGCAGTATTGACTGAGATTTAAATGAGCTGAGCTGTATTTCCCCTCACTCTTCTAGTCATGCTCAGAGCATGGCATGCCAGTAGAAATCATCTGAGCAGGGCTGGGCCGCGGTATGCTTCCTCCCAACCACAGGAGTCTACCTTTTCATGTTGTTGTCTCACTACAGGGTTTGTAACCTTAGACTTGCTGAATTGTGTTCATGCATAAAAACTAGATAGAAAACTGACTCCAAGCTGACCAAGATCCAAAGGTGCTAGGAAGAAAGCCTGCCAAAATGAACAGCACTGGGACAAGAAAACAAGAATGTTATGCTCAATTTTAACGATGTGTTACTGGGACAAAGCAAGGGTGGCTTGCTTTCAAAGAAATATTGCTCTAGAGCTGAATGGACTCTGTAATTTGGGAGATGATCCCACCAGCCTTCTCTGTGCTCCCAGAGCAAAGGGATGGATTTCAGTGCACTGGAGGTCTGCAGAGGAAGGCACCTGACTGCAGGGCGTATTTTAAGACTTAAGGCAAGGGTGAGCCAATCCTTTTGGCAGGCAGGCCACAAATTTGCTGCACATTCCCTGTGTGGCACACTGATCCCTTTCCACTGCCTGGTCTGCTGTTCTGCTTTTCACTCCCTCCCTTTGCTCCCTACTAGATCTGCTGCTCTGCTTTCTGCTCTGGGGCTGCTTTGCTTTCCACGCCCAGCCTTGACCTCCCCACCTGATCTGCTGCTCTACTTTCTGCTGCCTGCCTGATCTGCTGCTCTACTTTTCTACTCCCTGCTGCATTTACCAACCTTCTCCCCTCCAGCCACCTGCCACACACACATACACCACCTGTGTTGCTTGTGGCACACATGCCTTAGGGGATGCATACTGCCTCAGTTTGCACTGGCTCACAGGCTTTCACATCAGTAGGGACTGGAGTCTTTGATGGATCTAGGGGCCAAATGTGCCCCAGAGCAGGGCCCGAGGACATGGCATCTGCTCTGTGCGTCATTATCTCTCTCCTCTATTAAAGCAGTTGGAAGACTGCAGACTGAAACCATGCCAGTGTGTTTCCTGGGGCTTTGGGGCCATGTGGGCAAGGCAGCCCTAGGTGGTGGTGGGGGCACGGGAACGAGGACACACACCTGTGCTGGGTGCTGCATGCGTACGCGCAGAGTCACACACACATGGTGCATAGGGCAGACAGACACACATACAAACACACACAGTGTAGGAGACATGGTGCAGGGGACAGACGTACACACGGTACACAGGGTGAACACACACAGACATATGCATGTATCCACACAGGTGCGGTGCACGAGGAGGACACAATGCAGGAGACATGCGCACACACCTGGTGTAAAAGCCAAAGTGCAAGACACACACACACAAACACGGTGTAGCAGACACGGCAGGAGACGCACACATGCACACAATGCAAAGAGTGAACAGACCCAGATACACACGCATGTGTGATGCACACAGTGCACATACATGGTGCAGGGTACACGTAGTGTAGTACACACAATGCAGGACAGACACACACACAGTGTAATAGACAAAGTGCAGGGCACACAGACACGCTGCAAAGAGCAGACACCCCTCCACACAGACACACACACGGGGCGGACGCTCACGCCCGCCA